CAAAGCGCTTAAAGATGGTTAAGTTCCTGCAACTTAACCTAAACCACTGCAGAGCAGCCCAGGATCTGCTCGCACAAACGGTCCGGGAGAAGAGAATCGATGTAGCCATCATCAGCGAGCCGTATACACCCAAACATATCGAAGTGTGGCACGAAAGCTCGGACGCTGGAGCAGCACTATGGAGCTGCGGACAGGCACCTTACCAGCTCACACAACGGATTGCTCGCAAAGGGTTTGCTAGGGCAAAATGTGGCCGCATATACGTTTATAGCTGCTACATACCACCAAGCATCCCCCTGGCAGAGTACGCAGCCGTCGTTGAAGAAATCGCACAGGACGCGCACGGCAAATCTCCTGTGATAATCGCCGGAGACTTCAATGCGTGGGCTACAGAATGGGGCAGCAGCAGAACGACACCAAGGGGAACCATTCTGCTGGACACATTTGCCTCGCTGAATGTCTGCCTGCTGAACATCGGCACAAGAAGCACCTACAGCAAAGCGGGTCGTGAGTCGACCATAGACCTGACGTTTGCCAGCCCAGACATTGCCCGAGACGCCCAATGGCATGTATCGGATGTATACACCCACAGCGATCACTTTGCGGTGATAACGGACACCTCTCAATCTGGAAACAGAGGCGTCAGTAGAAGGCTCCAACACACTGGATACAAGATGGACACCATGGACCTGGAAAGATTCCTCCCTATGGTAGAAGGTCTTGGCATAAGAGGCGATGCCAACAGCTCCGCTGACGCGATAGCAGGGACTATCACCAACGCATGTGATGCCATACTGACCAAAGTTCGTAAAGGTGGAAACTCACATAGACCGGTAGCTTGGTGGAACGAGGACGTAGCCAAAGCGCGCAAAGAGTGCTTCGCAGCTAGGCGAAAGAGCCAACGGTCGAGATCGTCGCCCAATTTCGAGCACCATCTGCAGAACTTCAGAGCCAAGCGGAAAGTACTCAAGGAAGCTATCAGGCGCAGCAAAACCCGATACTTCCAAGAGCTCTGCGACGCCGCGGACGCGGAGCCTTTTGGAATGGCTTACAAACTAGTCATGGGAAGGCTATGCAGGCAACCAATGCCAACAAACCCGGATCAGCTGAAACAAATAGTCCAAACGCTCTTTCCCCGGCAGCCATCTGGATTTGCACCACAACTCCCAGCAAGTGGAATAAACGACTGCGCACCCACCGACGACAATGAGGTACTGTGCATTGCTGCGAAGCTAAAGGCCGACAAATCCCCTGGACCAGACGGCATACCGAACGGGGTAATCAAAGCTGTCATCGCTGCACACCCCAGAAGCTTCGTGGAGCTGTACAACCAATGTATAGCGGAATGCACAGTACCACGTAGATGGAAGCTCCAGCGACTTGTGCTCATCCCGAAGCCCGGCAAGGAGCTGGATGATCCCTCCTCATACCGCCCTCTGTGTATGCTGGACACGATGGGGAAAATATTTGAGCGGCTAATTTGCAATCGCCTAGAATGCAAGCTTGCTGAAGTTCATGGGCTGTCTGAACGTCAATTTGGGTTCAGGAAACACAGGAGCACCACGGATGCCATCAGGGCCGTGACTGAACTAGCAGAAGGCGCAATCCAAGGAACAAGATGGGCAGGTGGCACCAAACAGTACTGCCTAGTCTGTACTTTGGATGTCAAAAACGCGTTCAACTCAGCGAATTGGACGAGAATCCTAGAAGCACTAACAGCCAGACACATCCCGAGCCAGCTAATACAGCTAGTGATTAGCTACTTCCAGGACAGAGTGCTAATTTACGACACTGAAGACGGTCAGCGACAGTACACGGTAACTGGAGGCGTTCCCCAGGGCTCTGTTCTCGGGCCGCTACTGTGGAACGTCATGTACGATGGAGTACTGCGCCTTTGCCTACCAGAGGGCAACACAATCATTGGGTTCGCCGATGACATCGCTGTAGTGACTGTGGCGAAGAAACTCGATGAGGTCACTCTTAGGAGCAGCGCGGCTATCGACAGGATAATTGAGTGGCTATCCCAGAACGGACTCGCGCTAGCGGAGCAGAAGTCGGAGGCAGTTTTAATAAGTAGCAGAAAGATAGTTGAGACGGCCTCGTTGCGCGTTGGCAGTGCTATCATTAAGTCCAAGCCCGCCATCAAATACCTGGGCGTCATGATAGACCACAGACTGTCGTACAAACAGCACTTGGAGTATATTAGCCACAAAGCGGCCAGAGTTACAACAGCCATAAGCCGAATGATGGCGAACACCAAAGGCCCAAGGCAGAGGAGCAGAAGGCTAATCGCTGGTGTGGTGACGTCCACAATCCTCTACGGATCTAAAATATGGGCCCCCGCAATGGAGGTTGCATCTTACAGCCGAGGATGCAAGGCCGCATATCGTCGATGTGCATTGCGTGTAGCCACCTGCTTCCGCACAGTATCGGAAGACGCGGCCTTAGTGCTGGCAGGCATGATCCCACTCGGCCTGATGGCGGCCGAAAGGCAAAGCGGGGCAACCACCAACAGGCAACTGAGGGACAACACCATCGAACAATGGCAAAACAAATGGGATGGGAGCTCAAATGGTAGATGGACCCACAGATTGATCCCAAACCTGAAGCCTTGGCTACAGCGGCGACACGGCGAGGTAGACCACTACCTTGCCCAAATATTGACTGGGCATGGCTGTTTTAAGGCGTACCTGCACAGGTTTAAACATGAGGACGACCCCTTTTGCGAGCACTGCGGGCACGGTGTGGTTGAGGACGCGGAGCACGCATTGTTCTACTGCCCACTCCATAGACGCGAACGAAACAAAGCGACGGCGGGCAGAAATGATTTGTCCCCGGAGAATCTCGTGGCGCGGATGACGGCCACTGAAAATGGATGGACAGCCGTTGCTACCATGGCATCGGCTATAATGAAGGAGCTGCGACGACGGGAGAGGATCCGACGCGGCATCGACTGATGAGCGGCTGATATACAGCTGTACCCCGCCCTGCGAAGTAGTACTTTGCGGTTGTCCCGCAGGAGCGGGACTCTTTCTTTCTACTCTCCATAAACTATCCTGTCTTTCTCTGATTGCCCTATTTTCCTCTCTTGTATACATCCTAAAATGTAAAACATGTTTTTCTTTTCACAATAAAATAAAAAAAAAAAAAAACACACACACACACACACACACACACACACACACACACACACACACACACACACACACACACACACACACACACACACACACACACACACACACACACACACACACACACACACACACACACACATACACACACACACACACATACACATACACATACACATACACATACACATACACATACACATACACATACACATACACATACACATACACATACACATACACATACACATACACATACACATACACATACACATACACATACACATACACATACACATACACATACACATACACATACACATACACATACACATACACATACACATACACATACACATACACATACACATACACATACACATACACATACACATACACATACACATACACATACACATACACATACACATACACATACACATACACATACACATACACATACACATACACATACACATACACATACACATACACATACACATACACATACACATACACATACACATACACATACACATACACATACACATACACATACACATACACATACACATACACATACACATACACATACACATACACATACACATACACATACACATACACATACACATACACATACACATACACATACACATACACATACACATACACATACACATACACATACACATACACATACACATACACATACACATACACATACACATACACATACACATACACATACACATACACATACACATACACATACACATACACATACACATACACATACACATACACATACACATACACATACACATACACATACACATACACATACACATACACATACACATACACATACACATACACATACACATACACATACACATACACATACACATACACATACACATACACATACACATACACATACACATACACATACACATACACATACACATACACATACACATACACATACACATACACATACACATACACATACACATACACATACACATACACATACACATACACATACACATACACATACACATACACATACACATACACATACACATACACATACACATACACATACACATACACATACACATACACATTCACATACACATTACACATACACATAAACATTTTACGTTGACATCATTTAGAATTTCTACCACTTTCTAACAAGACAGAATCCGCCGCGTTGTGCTTTCTACCCGCCTGGCAAGGTTACTTGGCAAACCCACATGGCGGACGTGCCTAAAACGAAGGCATTCACCAGATCTCTGAATCCTTGGTCGATCGCGAAATAGGTGATTATTATAAGCGAACCTGATGCAATCTGCGGTGCATAAGTGTATGTTGGTACAATTTGCAATTGGCCGTGCGATGTAGCTACGATAGCTTATAGGCAAATTATAATATTCATAATTGAGAGATTGAACAAAATATTTTTAATTACGTATATGTTTTTAATTAATTAAAAATGTATTTTTAGGTAATGTAGCATTTTTGAAAGTGAAGTAATTTCCAAAATTTAAAAAAAATATAGACTATATTATTGTCCACATACTGCCTAAATTTTAAGTCAAAAAGGGCTGTGATTTAGCTTATATTTCCTAGTCCAATTATGCCCATCTAATCAATCTGAGAAAAATGACCTAAAAATCTTATTCAATTTTTAGCTGTTTTGAGCAATGTTTGCTTATGGAAGTTTTGAGCTTTCATTATTTATTTATTTTTTTCTATTAAAGTATGTGAATATAATTTGAAACCCAGGAGTGAAAAATGATTGAAAAATTTTCACTTATTTCATGACATTCTTTAGCGTTAAAGAATAATATTACATTTGAAAGCTTAAGAAGTTTATTTCAGAAGAATATATTGTTGCACTTACTAATCACATTAAGCATTATGCGGGTGTTATACGTTTGTGCCCTTAAGAAATCCACTCGACACCTATATAGTCCAGAGTCATTAGCATGGACGCTTTCAATGGAAAGTTTTCCAGGCCCATTTTCGAAAGAAAAAAATGCTCTTTCACCGAAGACCACATCGTCGGACCATCGTCTTGGAGCTTTTGACATTCCAGCACGCATATCCACACTATATATTAAATAAAAAGAAGAAAAAATTATATTCTCTAAATACGGTATTATTACAAAATATTTTATTCTGCCTAATTTTACAGGTATTAAGTTATTTACATTAACTTTGTCGAATTTCCAATCTACAAGAAGCATAGCTCTTATTATACTTTGTTAGTATAGGAAACGAACTGAATACAAATAGAGAAAGTAAGGATTTCTTCGACACATCGAAAATAACTTAGGGAAAATCATTAATGCTGAGTTTTATGAAAAGATATTGGAAAACAGAATAGTTTACCATACAAAAACTTATTCCTCGACCGATTATTCCCATAGAGCTGTATTATTTAGCAATGCGATCTTCATAAGACTTGACACAAATAATTAAAATAATAAATGCCATGGTTGGTCAAGATATCTTGGTTAACAAAAAAGTTTTTCGTCAAATAACTTTAATTGTGTGTATGTATGTGCGTGTGTGTGTATGTGCGTGTGTGTGTGTGTGTGTGTGTTTTTTTTTTATTCTATTTATTACATCGCTTAAATTGATAATTACAGTGTATAAATGTAACGTTTTACGCCTAGGTTGTAGTTGGGGGATGCGTGTTGAATAGGTAGCGTAGATTGCCTGCGGAACGGCCGCAAAGCATTGCTTCACAGGCATGTTCTTGCTACCTAGTCTTCTTCCGTTCTCCGTCTGTTGTGCTCAACTCTCCTGAGTTCCAGCATGACTTCTGCTTCAAGGGTATTGGTTGCTTCCCACTTTTGTGCTGTCTCTAGCATGTTCGTGATCATGTTGTCCACCGTGATAGGTCTGCCCATGCTGTCCTCCAGCTCCTGCCTGTTCGATGAAAAACGTCCACACTCGAAGATGATGTGGTTGGCGTCCTGTAAGATTCCTCTGGCGCACCAAGAACACTCGTCTGTTTTGTCGTGGCCGAATCGCTTCAAGTAGCTCCTGAAGCATCCGCGGCCGGATAGAAGCTATGTTAAATAAAAGTTAATATTGCCATACTTGCGGTTTATGCAGACTTCCAAATTTGGGATAAGCCTATGCGTCCAGCGTCCTTTAGATGAGCGATCCCAAAGTGATTGCCATCGTGCTATGCTCTGCATCCTTGCTTCAGTGCGAACCGAGTTTGCAGTGCTGTTTTCATGAGCTCTATAGCAAACTACCGCTTCAGTTGCCAGTTCGTTAAGCGAGAGCATCCCTGCGATAACCAGAGTCGCATCGTCTGATACCGTCCGGAAGGCGCAGCTGACCCGTAGGGCGCTCAGGCGATAGGTTGAGTCTAGTCCCTGGCTATAGCTTGGAACAGCCAATGCTCTGCCCCAGATGGGGGCGCGTACATTATTACCGCTCTGTTTACGGTCATGAGAAGACGGCGTCTCTGCTGTTTCAGTCCTCGAGTGTTCAGCATAATCCTGGGTAGAGCTCGACAGGATTCTGCTGCTTTTTTATGCACATACTCCAAGTGCTCTCTGAATGACATCCCTGTGTCTAGCATGACGCCCAGGTACTTTAACGCCCTCCCTGATTCTATTATCGCACTGCCGACTCATATGTGCTCTGTTTCCACCTTTTTTCGGCTGCTGACTAACACCGCTTCTGTTTTATGAGCAGCCAGCTCAAGTCCAGCTGCTGCCAGCCATTGGTGCACACGGTCAATGCTGTGGTTGCACGATTCCTCTACATCCTTTAATTCCTTGCCGAAGCCGATGATGCTTGTGTCGATCGGGAGTTCCAGTCGGAGGATGCCATCGTACATGATGTTCCAAATAAGGGGTCCCAGAACTGTGCCTTGGGGCACCCCAGCGGACACTTGGTGTGTAGTGGGGCGATCTGCGGTGTCATATTGAAGCAATCTTCCTGCAAAGTAGCTGCGTATCATCTCCTGGAGGTAATATGGGACGCGGAACGTTGACATTGCATCCAAGATTTTGTCCCACCTGGCTGTGTTAAAGGCGTTTTTAACATCCAGCGTGACGATGAGGCAGTACTTCTTAGTGCCGCTTTTCCATCTCGATCCTTGAATGGCGTTTGTTGCTATGCCGACCACTTTTCCAGGGCGTCTATTGTCGACTTTGCCTTGGTGAAACCAAATTGGCTTTGGGACAAGCCACCATTGTTGTCGACAGCTGCTTCAAGCCTGGTGCATAATAGCTTCTCCAGCACTTTGCCCAACGTGTCCAGGAGGCAAATCGGCCTGTATGACGATGGGTCGTCGGGCGGTTTACCTGGCTTCGGTAACAGCACTAGCGTTTGGAGTTTCCATATTGTGGGGAAAGTTCTCTCCATTAGGCACCTGTTAAAAAATGGCCAGCTTCAGCGCTCGGTTGGGGATTCCATCCGGACCCGGTGCCTTATTAGGCTTTAGGCTTCTGGCGATCGTCAGCACCTCTTCGACTGAGAATAGCGTTTCCACAATCAACTTAAGCTCACTCGGATCAGAAGGCTGCGTTTTCTTGCCGGCGTAGAGTCTCTTGACGACGATTTAATATGCCTTGCGCCAAGGATCATATTCGGCTGAGTCGCATAGTTCCGGAAAGCATTCTCGCTTGCTTTCTCGTATAGCCTTCTTTAGTAGTTTTCTTACCCTTTGATATCCTACTTGTTCTTCAGCATAGTTGGGTCTACCTCGGGATCGCTGATATCTTCTTCTGGCTTGGATGCAGTTTCGCCGTGCACAGGCACGAGCTAACTGATTTGCCATTTGGGAGGCTCCACTCTCTGCGTTGCCGGTCGTGGCAAGCGATTGGACTGCGTTCAAAAACCTTAACATTTCATTTAAAGCTTCCTGTAGCGTGGTCCGTTGGTTTTTCTCCTTTCCGTGTGCAAAGGCTACATTTTGGTGGCTTGGAGCAGCTCTTTGCTTCATGGCCTGTATCCCCGCATCTGAAGCATGCGCCTTTTAGATCGTCTCCGCTAATGCAGCTCGCTGCAATGTGCCCGAATCCCTGGCATTTAAAGCACCGCTTTAGTTGGTCTATTGCAAGCATATGAGAGTATATCAGAGAGAGAGTTCTCAGTTGACGGTGATTGACGTGTTTTACTTGTGCTCCAAGATTTTTATATATTTTTGCGCTTAAATCCTGTTTTTTACTTCCAAATTTTGCATTTTTTGTGCTTTATTTAAAAAGCTTTTATAACTTGTGCAAAGTGTTATCTGTTGTGCAGCGTAAGTCTGTTAATTATTGCTTTTATTGAACGCGGCGTCAGTTCCGTATTGTTGTTATTGCCTGTTTTGATTCTTTTGCTTTGGTGCTCCCCTGTGCAAACACTTGTTTGTGCGTGTGTTCGCTGCTGCAAATTTATTCTTGTGCATCGCGCTCTCGCAAATTTTTGCTGTTGCTTTTCGCTCCAAACAATTTGTTTGTGTACGAATAGTTATTTTTTGAGCGTTTACTTGCTCTATTCTTGTGCACTTTTTTTCGTTTCGCTCTGCGCTCTCGCAACTTTTGCTTATTCTTTTAACGCTGGTAGTAATTATGTCGTGCTGTAAGAAACCTTGCACGTTCAAGCAGGCTGATGATTCTGCTTTGCCGCGATTTGTTAATTGCTGGCTGTGTGAGAATATAATGCATGCTAAATGTGCAGGTCTCACTGGGCGTGATTGCGACAAGATCGCTGCAATTGCCAAGAAAGGCTGCGGAGGCTTGCGTTGGTCGTGCCCAGAATGCATCGACAAGCAAATTGATTTCTCCAGAATGTATAAGTCTGTGAGAAATCAATTCTTAAAACTAAATAGCGTGACTAAGCAGCTCTCGAGTAGTTTTGATTCGAGCTGTGAGTTGCTTAGCAAATATAAATTCGAGTCTCCAACCAATCGCCGGTTGGAGCCTCAATTTTTGCAGTTGCCCTCTCCGTCTGTCCAGACACCTTTGCCTGTGTTGTCACTTCCGAGCAACTTGGATTCATCTCCAATGTTGTCATTATCGCCTTCTCCGAGCGACTGCCCAAATATTACCCCAATTTTATCCCGTGAAATAGTCCCATTAGACCCTGTATCTGATCCTGTCCCAGTTAGCCAAACTGCCTCAGCCCCCTCAGCTCCTGGCCGCAAAGGTAGACCTGCGCGCAATCTTGCCCAGATTGTTAAAAACAATCATGGTGCCTCTTTAGCCCCACCAAATCCTGTTCTCCCTGCAGCCCCATCAGCGCCTACGTTAACTGTTGTTGCCCCTCGTAGGCAAGTTTTTGTGTCTCGACTTTCGTCTGACACCACCTTTGAGTCATTGGCAGCCTATATTGCAAGCAAATCTTCTGCTAGCGTGTCAATTACTAAATTTAATTTCTCCACTCCTCGTGAAATATCATCATTCAAAATAAATGTTTCACATGATATGTTCCCAATCATTTGTGATCCCAAATTTTGGTCTCCACACATGATTGTTCACGAGTTCAAGCCAAAAAAGCGTAACCAGCCTGTCACCCTTCCAGTCCCTTCAATACAGGGTACCATTTCTGCCCCAAAAAACAAACTTCTTCTTCTGACCAAGTCTTTATTCATTATCAGAATGTCAGAGGTCTCATTTCAAAACTCAAAAATCTTTTCATGGCCAGCACTTCCTTCGATTCGGATATAATCGCATTTTCAGAAACATGGTTAAATTCAACCATATCTGATTTTGAGGTTTTTTCGAATAATTTTATTTTGCATAGAAATGATCGGCTGACTCGAGGTGGTGGGGTATTAATTGCCGTTAAAGCCACTCTCCAGTCAGAACTTTTCTGTTTTAGTACGCCTACTGACGCTGAGATTGTCTCAGTCAAGGTGTCTTTTCCTACACGGAATATTTATATTACATGCTCTTATGTTCCTCCTTCTTCTGATATTCAAGTTTATATGAAACATATTTCTTGTATTAAAGAAATTTCTTCACACGTGCGTGATAATGACCTATTAATTGTGTTGGGTGATTTTAATTCGCCGAACATCACTTGGTCACTTTTTACTGCCGAAAATTATCTAGTGCCCTCAGCACAGCATGACTTTATAAATTGCATGCTTTCGT